TAGAAGTCGAAGGATCTAAGGAACAAGAGGGTAGAGCTAGTGAAAGTGCAACGGTAGCACCGCAAGGGTTCAGAATGGACTTGGGAGCCGATGGAAGAAATGATGGAGCACTACCCCGAGCTGTTTCAGGATCGAGCGGCAGACTTCGAGGGCGAAGTCTAAAATAAGTGGGGGAGATTTGTAGCACCTGGTTCCTGGTACGTAAAAATTTATCTAAGTAATTTTCATTTTAGCTTGGACTCGGCGAGTTGTAGGTCCGACTCGCCGAGTAGGGACGCGGTCCGGGGGCACGCTTAAGTTGGCGTCTTGGCGAGTCCATATCCTGGACTCAGCGAGTCACCGTTGTTTGATGAAACCCTAATTCCAAGGGTTTGCCTCCTATTTAAGCTAGCTTGTACGACCCAAGCTCGCCCCCTTTCACCCTCGAAGCGCCCTAGATCAAACCCTAACTCGTTTCGTATGAGATTGAAGTGATTAGAGTGATTCCTTGAAGTTTTTGGGAGAAGAAGGAGAATGGAGCAAGAAGAGGAGAAGGAGACCAGATATCTTGGTGCTATTTGAGAGTTCTCTGAGGTATATCTCTACTCTATTCTGTTTGCATGCTTAAAACCCCATTAGAGCACCTTTTGAGCTCTTCTTGAACCTTTTCCAAGCTTGTGCATGAAGTAGAATTTGTAATAGGTTGAGTATCTGCTAGAACTAGTCATGTTTGAGCTCCAGAAGCTCAGATCTATAACCTTTATGGAAGTAAATTGATGGAATGTCCTAGATCTACCTTCTTAGCCATTATTTTCGCCCCTAATCCCCATTCTATGCATTTCTACACGTAAAGTTGGAAAATTTACGTGTAAACCAGGCCCTAGGAACCCAGATCTATGAATGGCATGAGCTGGATCCAAGCAAAATCGCGTGTATGGTTTTTGCATGTGGCCGACTCGGCGAGTCGTTCATCTGACTCGGCGACTCGGGTAGCGAGTCCCAGGGTTGTTCCCTTTTGTGTTTGCGAGTTGGAGTAGTGAGTCATAGGGTATGACTCAGTGGGTTGGAAGCCAGACTCACTCATGAGGTCACTCGGCGAGTCAGTGCCATAACTCGGAGAATTCATGGCAATCTTCTTGTCTCAAGAACAACTCGACGAGTTGTTCATACAACTCGGTGAGTCACAGCTTAGAGTGTTCTTCGGATGAAGGCGAACTCGGCGAGTTGTTCATACAATTCGGCGAGTAGGATAAAGGACTATTGGACTTAGGTATAGAGAAAGGGACTCGGCGAGTCGGCAAGCTAACTCGGTGAGTCTGGTTAACTGGAAGTTGACTGTGACTTAACTCATGACTTGTTAAGGGTAAATGGAGAATTTACCCTGAGGGCGGTTAGCAGTATTTGACTAAGTGTTTGGTGGGAATTACAGCCGGAGGATTTCCGGAGCAGCAGCAGTAGCAGACAGACTATTCCTACACAGATCAGCAGCTACTACGAGGTGAGTTACCTTCCTGTAGCGGTTGGTCTACGGCCACAATGTCGGCCCACCAATAGGAGTTGTATGATGGATGATTGTCTCTGTGATATTCATCTAAGGTTGCTACTACCTGTGATATGTTTATGTGCTAGTATGATATGTTGCTATGTGCTAGTGACAGTAGGGCGAGATAATCCCTAGATTACCGGTTGATAGGGCCGAAGGGGCGGTCATGCCCAACCATGCTAGATAGATTACGAGATATATGTGTTATGTGATAGTAGTAGGGGTAAAATAGTCTCCAGTATCCAGTCGAGAGGACCGAAGGGGGAGACCAGCACCCAGATATGCTAATTAGTATCCAGTTGAGAGGACCGAAGGGGAGGCAAGCTCCCAGTTATGCTAGACAGTATCCGGTCGAGAGGACCGAAGGGGTAGGTCGGGCACCCAGATATGCCTGACGATATATGCATGTTATGTGATTGTATGGTATGTGGTAGGTTGAGGGAACTCACTAAGCTTCATGCTTACAGTTTTCAGTTTTGGTTTCTGGTACCTCTTCTTCGAAGGGGAAGGAGCTGGCGCGGTAGCGGCCTATCACACACATGCTTCGTATTCCGCATCATGAGATCTTCCTGGGGATTTGTACTCTGACATTATTATGTTTTATGAAATGTTTTCCAGACATGTGATATCTTACTAAAATATTATGATAAGTAAACGTTTTAATTCGAATGTTTTGCTAAACTTATGTTTTCAAAAATGAAAATTTTTGCTCGTATTTTTGGGGTGTTACAGTTTGTGTCCTATTTAAAGGACCTTAAGCCTTCATTTCCGCCTCCCTTATCATCTTAACACTCTAAGAGAGAAAGAGGGGCTAATATTGAATATTGTAGTGCATTTTTTGGAAGAAGATTGAGGAGAAAAAGGCTTGGGACGAGAAGGAGATCTTTGATCCATCAATAAGATTGTGTTCCGATCTTTATCAAAAAGTTCATCATTTATTGGTTTTTTCCTTGCCAAAAACTAATGCATTCTGGAAGCCGCAAATAGACTAAAATGTAATAATGACAATTGTTGTAATATTACGTGTAAGTCATAATGACAATTGGTGTGATATTACAATAATTGTCATTATTATGTATGAGTCTATTTGGGGCTTCTAAAATGCTTTACTTTTTGACAAAAAAAAATGATGAACCATGTGAGATTCATCTTATGTTGGGCCTTCTATAGTTTGTAAGAAAACAAGGGTCAAGTAAGACTTGAGCCAATGTATCAGTGGTTGAACATGTGAGATTTGTCTTTTATTGTTAACAACACTATGGACAACGCTATTAGTGTATGGGTTCAACTTATGGTTAGGTAATAGGAACATCCAAGTGTTAGAACCACATTTTAAATCATTGTTAGGTAATAGGGACATCCATTTAATCAACAAGGATTTTTTCCGTTCTTTATTTGGAGATTGAAAGATGATCATAGAGTTGTGAATGGATAATTTTGGAAAATTAATGAAGTTAACGAGGCTTGTGAGTGAAATTTTTGTTGTTGGGTTTGACGAAACCGATAAAATACGGTGAGCCTAGAAGAGCATAAGAAATAAGACATGGAATAGTACATATTAAATTAGATCATATAATAAATATTAGTTTAAAGGTAATCTTCAGAAAAGTTCAAATATTTTGGTTTATTGGTAATAAATAATGAAAAAGCCCTAAAATTTTAATTTATTAATGAAAAAGCCCCAAAATTTGGATTAATTAACGAAAAAAGACGAGATACCGGCGAAATCTATGAAACCGGTCACGAAGGGTTAATCCGAAGTTTTAGTCGGTAATTTATCCTTTTTGTAAACAAAATTTAATTTGGGACTGAATCGTAAACTTACCTAAAATATTGAGACTTTTTGTATATATATATATATATATATATATATATATATATATATATATATATATATATATATATATATATATATATATATATATATATGTGTGTGTGAGAAAGTAACAGTAACACAACTTTTCATGAACCATCACAATGGTTCATATACTTAACTATTATATTTAACATATAATTAATTAACTAACAATCAGGATCTAGGTTAATCACTTTCTAACAATGTGCGATCATATTATGTCATAATTAGAATCGTAGTGTTTATTAAAAAAAACTTTTAAATTAACCAGCAAAAAGTATTATTGTAGATGTTCAAACTCTTAATGACTCAAAGTGTCAAAAGACTAACCATTAAAATAACATAATTGTTAGTGTTTGTGAATGCTTCTCAAATTAGTTTAAGTTTATTAGTTTTTTATTAATTTTTGAAAAAACTAATAAGATAAAAACATATTTAGTTGTTCAAAAAAGCGATTTCCAAACATCTTTTTAGATAGACAAGATAAAGGAATTTCAGAAGGCTACAAAATCCTAGTTTTTGGTGGTTTTTCTTTTAGCTTTTTAGCTTTTTTTTTTTTTTTTTTTTTTTTTTTTTTTTTTTTTTTTTTTAAATCACTCTTCACCTCTAAAAGGCTATGCATATCATTTTTTTAAATCCAATTTATTCATTTTTAGTTTTTCCTACCACAAATGTTTAATTAAACATATTTATAAAAATTTATTTTTCAAAAAAACGATAAACCAATAAACATTTTTACCAAAAAACTGTAAGATTTAAAATATGAGACAAAAGAAGTTTTAAGATTAAAAAGCTAAAACCAAAGGCACCCAAAATAAAAGTTATAAACAATTGACCAACTTCTAAACATGTATAACAAAAGTTACTTATCATTTCCGCATTAAATGAAATTATTTTAGGCAAAATTAATTCATAATTTTACCAAATTTTTTAGGAATTCTTTATAATAAGTTCGTTAAGAAGTATAGTTTACAAAATTATTTTTCCCCAAATGATATAATTTTTTTGCCAAATGGTATCATTTATATAATTTATAAAGAGTCTTTCATGGAATTATGTAATAACTTTGTTAAGAAATGAAATGAGTAAATTACACGAATGGTCTTTTTGATTTAGGATAATTTGCATGTTTGGTTTCTAACTTAATTTTTTAATTTGAAAGGTCCTTAATGTTTGTTTTGTTATACGTTTGGTCATTCTCTTACCTAAAAATACTATTTTGTCTTTGATTTTTTAATTTGTTCAAATAAATACATCTCAACCCCACCCTCACTTACCTTACATATCATATCATTTTTCTATATTTACATAATAATCTTTTTAGGTAAGACAGAAATTAAGTGCGTAACAAAAACAAACAATAAGAACCAAACATGTAACAAAAACAAATAATAGAGACCTTCCGCGTTAAAAAAATAAATTAGTGACCAAACATGCAAATTACCCCAAACCATAGATACCATTCATGTAATTCACTCTTTTATTAATTATAGATTGTTATAATCCACAAGTTATTGTTCATTATATACATAGAATTAACTTATATCAATTGTTATAAAAAAAATCCTTATTAATTGATGACGCGTAAAAGTCCTACTCAATTTATTAGTTTCTCTTTACAAAATATATAGCAACCAAAAAGAGACCAATAATGAGTCACACATGCTTAATACAAGTAGAAAGTGAGAAATATTTTTGTATGTAATTCATATTATCGTGTACATATCGTAGATGGACTTGATCATGCCCATTTTAGGCCACTCTTTGCAATGCGAAAACACAATAAAACGGGAGAGAGTTGAAATAATATGTGCAATTTTTCTTGAACTTTTGAACATCAAGAAAACATAACATCTTCGGTGCTTAATACGTACTTGGGACATTGATTATCTGAACCCTTAAGAAATGCTTTGCATATTTCTTGCCAACACTTTCTATCGGGCTCCGCAATTTCCAACTTTGACCTTACATCTTCTGCAAGTCCAATCTGATATATCCAATCATAATTGAGTTCTGTTAATATATATATATATATATATATATATATATAGAGAGAGAGAGAGAGAGAGAGAGAATGATGATAGAGAGAGAGAAGCAAAGTAGCAAGTTCGGGGTTTCTGATTTTCTTGTTAAGCTGATGAATAAGCATGTGATTGGTTTCATTGCATACCTCAATGGCATCTTGATTGAGAAGGCGGTCTATGAGGTTATTTAGAATGTCTTTGGAGTACTCCGGATGGCCTTGAATCCCAAGAATATGGTCTCCAATTGTGAACATCTCGACTCCTGTTTTGTCTGAGAATGCTATGACTTCTGCTCCCATTGGCACCTCCAACACCTGTGCATGTTCATGTATTATAATGCCGTAAGATCTTATCACAACATCGTGACATGTATGCTTAATTTATGGACAAAAAGAATAAAAAGAAAAAGAAAAATATTGAAAGAATCAAAGAGATACCTCATCTTGGTGACACTCGATGATGGAGAGGGCTGGGGGAATCTCAGTCAAGCTTTCAAGAAATCTGCAAGGGGAGAATTTTTGTATAATCTCCACTTTCCTAAGCCCTATGTCCCACCCACTTTGTGATTTCCCTACTCTTCCCCCTAATGCTCTACTCAGAACCTATTTAACACCAAAAGATAAACAAGTTATCGTTTGTTTCATATACATGAAGCCATGATTTTGTTTTTTTAAATTTTTTTTTTGTCTCATTATTTGATTTAGACAAGAAACAAAAAAGGAATCCCGTATGTAATCAAGTGCTACCCTTGACATTTGCTTACACAATATTCTACGGAAGATAAAACATCCATGTAGGAAAATGTTTGAATTATGATGCAAAAATTGTAGTGGCCAAGGAATGTCAGATTATTCATTCGGAATAATATCCATCCTAGACATCTTTATAAGATGCTATGCTAGCTTATGATAGAAACTTGATCAATTTGTGGCAAAATAAATATAAAAATGCGAGTCTTATCTTATTTTGAATATATAGTATAAAAGAAGATGAAACCAACCAAACCTATACAGCTGTCGAAATCTCCATCTTGAATATTATATATTAAAGACGACAATATCCAGGATGGATTTATATCACAAGTAAACCAAGTTACAAAAAAGATACCTGATGTCCAAAGCAAATGCCAAGGATTTTCTTTTGCATGGAATCTAGGGTTTGCAAAAGAACGCAAAGCTCAAGAATCCAATTGTCATCACCATAAGCATCATAAGGACTTCCACTCACTACAAACCCATCATAGTCTTGAAGCTCATTCATGTCAGGGAATTCCCCATCAACTACCCTATACGAATCCCACCTCTCTTCTACTTCTTCACCAAAAGCTGCGACAAATACATTAAAATACCCTCCATACACCTTCTTCACATACTCTGAGTCTCTTGCTGCTAGCAGCAATGCATACCTCCTCTTGTGTTCACTCATTATCCCCATTTCTTTGTGCTTCTGTGCGTGCGTGAGACAGAAAAGGAATGTTCAGAAACTTTGAGTTGTGCTGGTGTTTGAAGAGGGATATGATCCTATATATAGAGAGAGATCGATTAATTGAGAATATAACAAAGAACCAACATGTCATAAACCCGAAGAGATCATGACCAAAAAAAGAATATCCAACAATTCAGTGTGAAAGTGATTTAATATATAGAATTTTATTAAGTAAAGGGAGTGAGGAATCAAAGATGACGTAAGAAAGCTTCGGTAAACCTTTCCGTCAGCATTTCAAAAATATTTCATTTTCTTTTTTGCAAATTAAAATCAGGGTGAAGACATCATGATTTTGAGTCTCCCTGTAGATCTATGGTACCTGAAACATAATGTGTGTTAAAGAATTTTGGCCGTTAACCCAACTCGGTGAGAGTTCTAGGATGCATTTGTCATAAGAGATAAGGTAACCGTATAAATTTAAGATGAAATACACATATGTAAGCGAACATATTTGTAAGCGAACCTGTGTTACATATTCTTTAAAAAATTCTCTCTGAAATTAACTGTTTTAAGATGTCTTTCGATACTTTCACACTATGAGAAAAAAAAATGTTGCTAATAAGACACCCCTTAGCTAGACACCCTATAATCATTTTTATAAAAAGTCAATCTATAATCAACTACTTGTAATCAACTTTTTCGAAAAATAATGCAATTGCAACCAATAAAAATATTTCAAACATTAATTAGGATTGTCCAAATGGTAAAATAGGGTGTCTTTTTAGCCAACAAAAAAAACAATAATAGCTACTGAGGGCGAGGATCGACACTAGTAGAAATACCCTGCTGCCATACAACTGCAACGGTTATCGTTGTAGGTATCGTCACACTAGATTCGTCGATATATATAAGCACCTATTGAGCGATAGTTGTTTCGTTGCTACAAATAATTAAAAATAATAATGATTTACTTAGGGAACATAGTCGATATGCACATCACTAATGTTATATATATATATATATATATATATATATATATATATATATATATATATATATATATATATATATATATATATATTTGAAAAGTTCCAATTTTTTGTCAAATACCACATTCAGTTTCCATTTGTTCCACATTCAATAACACATTTGTCCCAAATAACATATCTTCAAAATGTTTCCCTAAAAGAAAAAAGTGGAAAATCAAATACAGTAAATGAAATTACAGGCTACACATCTCTTATCCAAGCTGCACCATATTATCAGTAAGACGGATGAATTTCTTTTGCCTAAACAATTACAAGTAAAGGATATGAAGTAAATTATAAAAAGTTGATATATAAATATTTCAAATCTTAAAATTCAAAATATGCCACTTAGAAAACCAAAACATATACACCTTAAAAGGAATTCCATAAGAATGTTATATAAATTCCTAAGTTAATACACCTTGGTAACAATAATTTCTATTTGTTCTTGCTTCACCAGTTGAGAGACCATGGTCCTGTAAAATTAGAACACACTTTAATGTTGCCTTCGTAGGTGGCAAGTAATGGTAGATACACAAATGTATAAAACAAAATTTTGACTTATTTGAATTTCATAAGCCGAACATTGTGATTCAAAGATTAGTATGGTGACTGAGCTTCCAGAACTATTTCATGATTCCTAATCAGAATAACAAGATGTAAAAAAAAATCTTGTAATGTGAATTGTATTAAATTTATGAGGTTGAAGATAAGGTTAGTGAATAAGAGATAGGTATTTCCCTGTTGCACTTAGTGAGTTATTACTTATCAGTTCTATCTTTTGTGATTTCATTCCATCATAACAAATATGCCATTAAAGAAAGGCGATATATGGGATTGAGAGCAAAAATAAAAAGGAAAAACTATTGTAGTCACCATAAGAGCATAAATACGGGTCAAAATTCCTTTCCTCATCAATTTCATATGTAGAGCTAAACAAATAAATCTCTTTTCATGATTATGGAAAAAGGACACGGATTCTTACCAGCTTAGCATCTCCTCCTCTGTTGTACTTGATACAATTATAAAAGCTTGAAACACAATTAGTGAGATCATTATTAAATTGGTCTTAAGGATTTTCAAGTTAAAGTGGTTTATTTTCTCACTATCTTTAAGAAGAAACATCAACCAATACTCACAAATCTGTCGAATTCTAACATAAAGCATCTTTTAACATCTTTTTTTATAGGTTGGCAACTATATCTGTCACGCCTTGATTTCAGATCTGAAAACATCATGAAATATTCTCTTTTCAAGTTATAAATCAATATGATAAGCATCTTAGTACATTAATAGTTGGTAGAGTTACTAAAGACCATACATGACCATACAAGATTAAGCAAAGTATATCGGGATGTACCACTAAGAAATCCTCCATTTAACCACTATCTGTCATATTTAGATTAATTAATCACTGTAATAGACGGTTAAGCGCATTAATATACAATGTGATCAATAATATTGGTTGCTTGTTTTGGTTACGTCTAGAGCAAATCTGTATTAGGGATAAAGTAACTGTAAGTGGTGAAATTAACCAAATATTTTATCACATGTTGAGGTGAAATTAGCCAAATATTTTATCAAATTCAAACAAAATTTAACCTAAACCCTTAAATTCGACCTCACATTCAACAATACATATCAACATTATCACTGAATAAGGCATCAAAATAGTATATATGAAGTAATTTCAAAAAAATAAAATAAAATAAAATTTAAAAAAAAAAAAAAAACCCTAGGGTTTTACCTTTTTGGGGAAGTACCGAGCAAAGAGGCCGAGAGAGAGGAGAGCAGATGCGTCGGAGAAGAAGGAAAGTTGGATGGAGACGGGCGTCTATGGGTGGTGCCGACAATATCGATGGAAAAGAGGGCCGCCGACGAGGAAGATGGTCGTTCATCGCCTTCTTTTTCTCACATCGTGTTTTTTTTCTGTTCTAAAATGGGTAGACGTCGAGGGTATTAATTAACCGAGATGGATTTTGATTAAAAGATATAGCTACAGATTTGCTATGGCCCAGCTTCGGAGTTTGCTACGGACAGGTATTAGCAAGGTTGTAGAACTCGTTACTCGGTACCTGTTCGGCCTTACATTCAACAATATTTTATCACATGTTGAGGTGAAATTAGCCAAATATTTTATCAAATT